TAACGAAGAGTACAATGGGAAGCATTAAGATAAAATGGTCGTTAAAATGTGACTAGCACAAGATTACATTGTAGGACATGCAAATGACTCCAAATGCTTCGAAATGGAGCTAGGAGAGCTCCTTTCAAGCGAGTATGTACTGCAATGCTGCTTTTGATGTTTATATGCTAGTAAGCTTTATGGACGAAATATGCACTAGTTATGTCTAGACTCATGGTAGAGAAGAAGAAAGATAGTTGAACAGAGTGACAATATTGTAATACAAATGTGAAATATAATTCCTCTACAAGACTCAAATAATCAACCCATGGTACATGAATTTGACCATATAGATAAAGTTTATTAACTTCGTTTTCAGAGACTCGCAATCCACAACTCGACCCAACACGAGGGTACAGATAATTTTGTGTATTGGTCCTAGAGAAGATGAAAAATGCTATTTGTTTATCAGCATTGACACTTAGGGATGTCAATTGGGCCAAGTCGGCTCGCGGCTCGCCGATTCGGCTCGTGGAAAAGAGGCTCGTGGGCGGCTCAGGCTCGTGAAATCACGAGCCCAAGCACGAGCCGAGCGGGCCTCGCCATTTAGACGAGACGAGGCTCGTGGCTCATCGAGCCCATGACTGTTCTGGTCATTGAATTTTATTCAGTGACCAGAACAGTCACTGAACTTTTATTCAGTGACCGTTTCATCACTGAATTTTAATTTCTCCCCCTCCCCTTTTTTTACTATAAATACCCCCTTCCCCCAAAGATTTTTTTATATCAATTGCTTTTCCAAGATTACAACTCTCTCAACTCTCTTTTATTATACCAATTATCGAGTTTTTACTCTCTTGTACTACAAAATATACAATATCAATTTAATTTTTACAGTTTATTAGTTACAATTCTCAATTCTCACAATCTCACTACATTTATATTCATCTAGTCAAGATTTCATCATAAACAATCACAAAAATGGATCAACGTTCATTTGTTGAGAGCTTGTTCGATACAGGATGTGAGCCACTGCCACATCATGAGAATCGCCTAGGACGCCGCAAAGTCAATTTCCAAATGAATTTCGGTCTAAATGACATATTGATACCTGAAAATGTTCACATTCACGGTTAGGGAAGCCACACTCCAATTGATTTGGATGATATTAACGTTCCCGAAGCGAAACATGAAGATGAAAATCAGCAATTAAATATCCCAGATGCGAGGGAAAAGTGAAAGGCCAAAAAACAAGCAAAATGTTGGGATCACTTTAAGTTGATTTCAACAGAAAAAGTCGTTGATGACCTCACAGAATCTAAAGCAGTATGTAAATACTGCCAACAAAGATTGACATGGCAAAAAGGAATTGATACCAATCATCTCAACCGCCACTACAAATCATGTGCAGCCAGACATGGACTTCTTCCAGCTGGTCAAACATAATTACAATTTGGCAGTCCAGACGCCGGTCCTACAACTTCACCCTTATCCACGTGGGTGTATTCGGAGGACGAGATTCAAACCAGAATGGTGAAATTTGTTGCCGCCATTGAGTTGTCTCTGGCTATTGCAGACAACCAACACTTCGTCTCGTTCATGAAAGAATATCTACAACCGAGGTACGTTAGGGTAAGTCGAAACACTCTTCGTGTCGATACAATAAATTATTTCAATAATTCAAAACAACAATTAATTATGAATTTGCAACAATATGGGGGTGTTATATCCTTAATTTCTGATATATGGGAAGGGGTTAATAAAAGAGCATATATAGCTGCAACTGCACACTATATAGACTCACTTTGGTGCATGCATAAGAAAATTATTGCTTATAGAATTATTGAATTTCCTCATAATGCTAATAATATATATAATGCTATTATCAGTATTGTTAGAGAATATCATTGTCAGAGTAAAATTCGATCTTTTACTTTTGATAATGCTAGTGTTAATAAGGTAGTCGTCGATAAATTGTGTAGGACACTTCAACCTGATTTTGGTAGGTATTTGTTTCATATTCGTTGTGTGTGTCATATTTTGAATTTAATTGTGTAAGATGGTTTAAAACATATAAATGATGAACTTCAAAGGATTAGGAATGCATTAGTATATATTACGATTTCTCCTAGTAGAAAACAAGCATTTGAAGATTTTTGTGTCGAATTAGGGGTGATGACTGCTAAAACATTTATTAGCGACGTATGTCATAGATGGAACTCTACATACTTGCTATTAAAATCATGTGAAGGTTTCAAAAATTTAATAACTGACTTTTATAATAATAGACATGTTAGAAGTGATGACGATGATATGTTAAATGAATCCGATTGAATTTTAGCTTTGAAAGTTAAACGATTTTGACATCTTTTTATGAGACCACAAAGATTTTATCCGGCGTTTATTATCCCCACAAGCTGTATGGTGCTTGAACGCCTTTATAAAATTGCAAGAACATTTCATAAATATAAAAATGATCCTACTTTTAGTGAAATTTTAATTGCTATGGAATTAAAGTTTAGAAAATATTGGGAAGAACTGCCTATGTTATTTCCTTTAGCATACGCAATGGACCCCCGATATAATATTTCGGGAACTAAATACGTAATTGATCAAATCAATAAAATTTTAATACTTGATACACCTATCACCTATAAGAATTTAGAGCAAACATTATGTGGAATGTATGATTTATATGCGGAAAGAATAGGTGCGAATGTTAGTCGGGTACCCTCTGATGCACCTACTCTTTCTGCTGAAACTAAAGAAGATACTGCGAAAATAATGAATTTATTTCAGGGCATTAATATATTTAGATATGATGCAACTACAATGTGTTCATCTAGTGCCATGTCGTCTACATCTGCATCTCATCAAATATCAGTCGAAACTCAAAATGCGATGCCTGCCAAATTAATTGATTATTTCAATCATAATATGCCGACAGACAGAACAATTAAAAAAATTTCAGAAGAAATAATTGAATTCTGGTGAAAGTATGAAAGACGTTGGTCAATTGTTTCTGCAATTGCGAAAGATCTATTGACACCTCAAGTTAGCACTGTTGCTTCGGAGTCTGCTTTTAGTTCAGGTAAAAGGGTTTTGACCGATGTCAGGAGCCGACTAAAAAAAGATGTCTTCGAAGCGTTAATGTGTGTGAAGAATTGACAGGACACTCATTTTCGATTACAAGATAAATACGCTGAAATTGCATGTCGTCAGGTAAGTGATATTTGATTTAATTATATTAATCAAATTTTTTTTATTTTTTAATCGTTAAATTTAATTTTCTTTAAAAAATTGTACACGTTACAACAAGTTGTTCGTGTACAATTTTTAACTCCGCCTACTTAAAATTAATGTAATCGATCCCAAACCCGGATAAAGGAGGAGGGTTTACATTTTATTAACTTTAAAAAGAAATCAAAAAATGTATTTTTTGTAAATGTATTTTAAAAAATAATTCGTTTTCATTATATAAAGATTTTATAGTTTATAAAAAATTATTACAAATTACAATATGAGATAAATAAAAAAATAAAACTTGTTTTCGTTAAATTATTTGTATTTTTTAACACTTTTTATTTTTAAAACTCTATTCTTTATTAACTTTAAAAAGAAATCAAAAAAAATATTTTTTATAAATGTATTTCAAAAAATAATTCGTTTTCATTATATAAATATTTTATACTTTATAAAAAGTATTACAAATTATATATAAATAAATAAAAATAAAAATTTCTTTTTGTTAAATTATTTATATTTTTTTAACACTTTTTATTTTTAAAACTCTATTCTTTGAATAAAAAAAAAAAATAGGCGAACCCACCAGCCGAGCTCGCCCAATTTAAACGGCTCGTGCTCGTGGCATTAATGGGCCAACCCTATTGACACTCTAGTGCACGTGAACGGAAAGTGTATTTCGAAATGTCAATGTCGGTGTACGTTAGCAAAATTCGGACAAGATAGTTGAAATCTAAACAAATTCAAGGACCTCATCTTTAACCCGGCCTAA